ATCAATAATGTTTTGTTGCAGAACTAAAAAGCCTTTGAAACACTGCTGTTTCTGGGAAACAGAAACTCAGCTTGAAAAATATTGGCTTTCTCTTGGTCCCTGGTCAGTGGCCAATGCGTTTTCCAAAGAAGACGGAGAACACACATATAAGTGGCGTTCCTTAGCATTCCCAAACCTTTGCTGCTGCCAAAAAGGAGAGGAATGCGGCAGGGTTTCTGGCCAGACGTCTTGTCATTTGAGGTCACATCTCTGCCAAACTATTTTCCTTTTTGGAACGGAATCAAAACAACGGCGTTCCGAAAACTAGGTCAACGAAAGCAAGGTGTTTTCAAACGCCCTTTGCTTTGCAAACAATGGCTGCGTTGAGCAAGGCGCAATTGCACAACGGCGATAACGCATCGCTGCAACGTCAAAGGGTTGCATTGCAATCCATACTGGCTCGTGCGCATTATGCTGTCTTGATTCCATTTGACAATGAGAAACAGATGTGGGTTTCTGCTCTTTCCGTTGGAGATAGATGTCGATTCTGTTTTGTATTTGTCCATCTGTTTATACATTTCTAGACTAATTCGCTGAATCATGAACAAACTGGCCATATGAGCTGCTGAACTTACTGACAGAAAGGTTGGTGGTTCAAATCCAGGGAGTGGGGTGAGCTCCCACTGTTAGCCCCAGCTTCTGCCAACCCAAAGTCAAGGTAAAGGTTTTCCCTGACATTAAGTCCAATCGCGTCTGACTCTGGGTGTTGGTGCCCATCTCCATTTCTAAGCCCAGGAGCCGGCGTTGTCCATAGACACCTCCAAGGTCATGTGGCTGGCATGACTGCATGGAGCACCCTTACTTTCCTGCCGGAGTGGTACCTATTGATCTACTCACATTTGCATGTTTTCGAACTGCTAGCAGAAGCTGGGGCTGAACAGAAGCTCACATTTGCATGTTTTCGAGGCTAGGTTGGCAGAAGCTGGGGCGGACAGCGGAAGCTCATGCCACTCCCCGGATTCGAACCGGTGACCCTAGTACAGGGAAAGAAGAGAGAAAGAGCTGAAGAAAGAAAGGAAGGAAGAAGGAAGAAAAAGGCATAAAAAACTAAAGAAGAGAGGAAGGAAAGAAGAGGGGAAAGGTGTGTGAAGGAAATGGAGGAAGGAAAGAGAGAGCCACAAAGAAAAAAAGGGAGGGAAGAAAGAAAAAGAATGGAAAGGAAAGGAAGGAAAATAGAAAGAAAGAAAGAAAGAAAGAAAGAAAGAAGAAAAAATGAAAGGAGGAAAAGAAAAAGAGGAGAAGGAAAGATGTAGAGAAGGAAGGAAAGAGAGAAAGAGGGAGGAAAAGAAAAAGAGGAAGGAGGAAAAAGAAGGTAGGAGAAAGGAAAAGAAAGAGGAAAGGAAAAGGAATGGAAAAGTAGGAAAGAAAAAGAAAGAGAAGAGAGAAAAAAGGAAAGGGAGGAAAGAAAAAGAGAGAAGGAGTATGAGGGAAATGGACAAAGGAAAGAAAGAGCCACAAAGAAAAAGGAGGGGCAAAGGAAGATAGGGAAGAAAGAAAAAGAAAGGAAAGAGAAAGGAAAGGAATAGAAGGAAAAAGAAAGAGAAAAGAAGGAAATGGAAATGGAGGAAAGAAAAGAGGGAGAAGTTGTGTGAGGAAAATGGAGGAAGGAAAGAAAGAGCCACAAAGAAAAAGGAGGGGCAAAGGAAGGTAGGGAAGAAAGAAAAAGAAGGGAAGAGAAAGGAAAGGAAGAAAAAGGAAAGGAAGAAAAAGGAAAGAAAGAAATAAAGAAAGAAAGAAAGAGAAAAGAAGAGGAAGGGAAGGAAAGGGAAAGAGGGATAAGTTGTATGTGGAAAATGGAGGAAGGAAAGAAAGAGCCACAAAAAAAGAAGGGGCAAAGGAAGGCAGGGAAGAAAGAAAAAGAAGGGAAGAGAAAGGAAAGGAATGGAAGGAAAAAAGAAAGAAAGAGAAAAGAAGAAAAAGGAAAGGGAGGAAAGATAAGAGAGAGAAGTTGTATGAGGGAAATGGAGGAAGAAAGAGCCACAAAGAAAAAGAAGGGGCAAAGGAAGGTAGGGAAGAAAGAAAAAGAAGGGAAGAGAAAGGAAGGAAAAGAAAAGAAAAGATCTTTTTTTGTAAATGCAATGAGAGGAATGCTTAACACATGGTCATTTATTTCCCTGGATCCTCATTGCTAGATGGAGGAAGGCATTGCCCAGTTTAGTTTTAACAGCAAAGTCGCCGTCCGTGATCTATCCTACGAATCCCTGGAAGACCTCAATGGCTTGAGGCTTTATATTGCGGCTTCGGTGCTGGAAACGAAAGGTAATGATGCCTAAGGGGCAAAAGAAACATTGATCTCCATTCAGCGAGGTTCTAAATAACCCCTTCTTGCTCTTGTTTTGGCCAGGTGGCCATAGTGTGGATACCGAATTGACCAGTGTCCTGTATGCCATGTCTCCTTACAAACTGGATTTGATCGCCACCCCGCTCTTCGTGAAGCCTGGGCTCCCATACTCCATCAAGGTGAGTCGATGGTTTGATGGACCTGGCTGTTGCTAGGTGAAGTGGCCTTCTGTGATGTGACTGGGAAAGAATGAAGGCCATTGGCTGCTGCTAGGTGACATGTGAATGAGGGAGGGAGGGAAGGAAGGAAGAGAAAAGGAAGGAGAAGGAAGAGGGGAAAGAAAGAAAGGAAAAGGAAGTAAAGGAAGAAAGAGAAAGAAGGGAAGAGAAAGGAGAGGAAGGAAGGAAGGACACAGAAAGGGATGAAAAAGAAAAAGAAGAGAAGAAAAGAGAAGGGAAAGAATAGGAGATGGAAGAGGGGAAAGAAAGAAAAAGAAGGGAAAGTAAGAAGAGGAAGGAAAGGGAGCTGTGTATGAGGGGAGAGGAAGAAAGAAAGAGGAAGGGAAGGAAAGAAAGGGGAAAGAAATAATAGTTGAAGGAGGGAAGTGGGGAAGAAAAAAGGGGGAAGGAAGGAAAGAAAGAGGAGAAAGGAAGGGAAGAAAGAAAGGACAAAGAAAGGGAGGAAAGAAAGTAAGTAAAATAAGGGAAGAAAAGGAAAGATAGAAGAGAAAGGAAGAAGAAAAAAGGAAGAAAAGAAAGAAAGAGAAGAAAGAAGAAAGGAAGGAAGGAAGGAGGAAGGAAGAAGGAAGGAAGGAAGGAGAAGAAGAAAAGGAAAGAAAAAAGGGAGAAGGAAGGGGGAAAGAAAAGGAAGGAAGGAAAGAGAAAGAGGAGAAAGAGGAGAAAGAAAGAAAAGGAAGGGAAGAAAGAAGAAAGAAAAGAAAGAAGAAAGGAAAAAGAAAGAAAAGAAAAGGGAAGGAAGGAAAGGGAAGGAAGGAAAAGGGAAGGAAAGAAGAAAAGGGGGAAGAGGAAGGGAAGGAAAGAAAGAAAGAAAGAAAGAAAGAGAAAGAGGAGAAAAGAAGGGAAGGGAAAAAAGGGAAGAAAGAATGAAAGTAAAAGAAAGGAAAAAAGGAAAAAAGAAAGAAAGAAAGAAAGAAAGAAAGAAAGAAAGAAAGAAGAAAGAGAAGGAAAGAAAGAAAGAAAGAAAGAGAAGGAAAGAAATAATAGGTGAAGGAAGGAAAAGGGAGAGGAAGAAAGGAAAAGGGAGGAAGGAGGGAAGGAAGGAAAGAAAGAAAGAAAGAAAGAAAAAGAAAGAAAGAAAGAAAGAAAGAGAAAGAGGAGAAAAGAAGGGAAGGGAAGAAAGAAAGAAAGAAAGAAAGAAAGAAAGAAAGAAAGAAGGAAAGGACAAAAAGGGAGGAAAGAAAGAAAGTAAAAGAAGAGAAGAAAGGAAAGGAAAGAAAGAAAGGTGAAAGAAATAATAGCAGAAGGAAGGAAGAGGGGAAGAAAGGAAAAGGGGGAAGGAAGGAGAAAGGGAAGAAAGAAAGAAAGAAAGAAAGAAAGAAAGAAAGAAAGAAAGAAAGAAAGAGAAAGAAAGAGGAGGGAAAGAAAGAATAGAATAAAGGAAGAAGGGAAGAAAGGAAAAGGAGGGAAGGGAAGGAAGGAAGGAAGAGAAAGAAGGGAAGAAAAAGGAGGGGAAGAAAGAATTGACCAAGAAAGGAAGAGAGGGAAGAAAGAAAGAAAGAAAGAAAGAAAGAAAGAAAGAAAGAAAGAAAGAAAGAAAGAGAAAGAAAGAGGAGGGAAAGAAAGAATAGAATAAAGGAAGAAGGGAAGAAAGGAAAAGGAGGGAAGGGAAGGAAGGAAGGAAGAGAAAGAAGGGAAGAAAAAGGAGGGGAAGAAAGAATTGACCAAGAAAGGAAGAGAGGGAAGAAAGAAAGAAAGAAAGAAAGAAAGAAAGAAAGAAAGAAAGAAAGAAAGAAAGGGAAAGAAAGGATAGGAGAAGGAAGGAAGAGGGGAAGAAAGGATAAGGGAAGGGAGGAAGAGGAAGGAAAGGGAGATGAAGGAAGGGAGAATGAGAGAGGGAGAGAGGAAGAAAGAGGAGGAAGGAATGGAAAAAAGAAAAAGAAGCGAAGGAAGGAAAAAAAGAGAAGGTAAAGAAAGAGGGAAGACTCAAATGAGACTCAAAGCAGCTCGTATGAGAGAGAAGTAAGAAAATATTCTTTGAACTGCCATGGTCCAGAATGCTTGGAAAATGGACTATAAGAATATTTCAAATGTATAAATGCATATGATTGTCCATATAGGTGCAAGTAAAGGATCCGACGGGTGTCCCGTCCAGGCGCGTCCCTGTTGTTTTGACGGCCAGTGTCTTCAATGAGGCCGGGGAAGAGGCGGCCATAGAGCGGGAAGGGTCCGAAGGCGGACGGCGGGACACAGGCCAGGATGGAACCGCTTCTTTCGTGCTGAATATCCCTCGTGATGCCAAAACACTGGAGTTTAGCGTCAGTTAAGATGCTTTACATTTCAAGTTTTCCCCAGTGGGTACTTTGGGGCTGTATACTTTGCCTTTGGGAAGCAACCGGAGGTTTTACACCTTGAAAAAGTTGGGTTTTTGTATTTAACATGCAAAAGGAAGCTTTTCCAATGATTGAGGAAGTGCCTTGGCCAAAGAAAGTACTCCGTTGAGTGTTGTGTGGCCACTGTGTTCTAGCAGCACTTTCTACTGATGTTTCGCCTGCAATTTGCAAGCTTAATTTCCAAGTGTACTCCATACCTGACTTAAACCAATCATCCCCTTCCCATTCTTAGATAAAAACTGCAGATCCCAAATTACATGAAGACAACCAAGCCAGCAAAGACTATGAAGCACAATCATACGTTTCCCTCAGCGGAAGCTATCTGTATATCGACTGGGCGTCGTACCACAAAACCTTATATGTCGGAAGTACCTTGCACATCGGTGTGCACCCATCAAGCCACTACATTGATAAAATACATCACTACAGCTATTTGGTATGTATTAAACAGCTGTCCTTACTCTCAATGTGCTTCAGCTGTTGCTTCCATGTTTCTACTGATGAAAATACATAATACACATATTGGAAAATATATGTTGGACGTAACCATATTAGAAATAGGAGTTAGAAAAATCTATGAAATTCAAAGAGAAATGTATGTATGCATGAACTTCACTTGGAAGATATTCTCTTCTTAAAAAACTGCAAAATTAGATGCCTCAAGAGAGGCCGGTGTCTAGTAAGGGAATGTCAAGAGCAGGGGTCCCCAAACTACGGCCCGCGGGCCACTTCCGGCCCGCCAAGGTCACTTATCCGGCCCGCAGAGGAGGAGCGCCCCCCCACACAGTGCCCCTCCCTTGGCTGGCTCACACTATCCGTCAGGCCCAATGGGCAGCGTGAGCCAGCCAAGGGCAGCTGCTCTGTGTGGCCTACTCGCACGTATAGCACCTCACAAGGTGCCTTACTTGCAAGTAGGCCACGCGGGGCTGCTCCTCCCTTGGCAGGCTCACACTATCCGTCAGGCCCGATGGGCAGCGTGAGACAGCCAAGGGAGGCTGCCCCGGCGCTCCATGCAGTCATGCCGGCCACATGACCTTGGAGGTGTCTACGGACAATGCTGGCTCTTTGACTTAGAAATACAGATGAGCACCACACCCCAGAGTCAGACACGACTGGACTTCATGTCAGAGGAAAACCATTAACTAGGAAAATTGTGGAAGAGCCAGGGTGGGAGAAAGAACTCTTGTCTGTTGGAGGTAGGTATGAATGTTTCAATTGGCCACCTTGATTACCATTTCATAGCCTGACAGTTTTTAGGGAGAATCCTTTGTTGAGAGGTGATTAGCTGGCCCTGATAGTTTCTTGTCTGGAGTTCCCCTGTGTTTGAGTGTTGTTCTTTATTTACAGTTATAATTTTAGAGTTTTTAAAATACTGGTAGCCAGATTTTGTTCAGACTAGAAATAGGAAGATTTCCCATTCTCTGCTCCTGGAATTACTGCCCAAAGAGGGCTAGAAAGAACCCCCTCTAAGGGCCCTTCCACACAGCAAAATAAGATATGTGCAATGTGCATAGGAAATTTTTAATTGATTTTTTAAAAAAACCTATAGTCTGGCCATCCAACAGTCTGAGGGACAGTGAACTGGCCCCCAATCTAAAAAGTTTGAGGACCCCTGGTCAAGAGGCCTCTGGCAAATTTCAATCGACTCTTTCCATTTTGGTACCAGGTGAAGCTTATCGTAAGATTAATGAGCTGGCCATCAAGAGGCTTCAGGAAGGACTTATCTCAAGATGGATGGAAGCTCTTGCTATCAGTAGCCTAGTAGACACTCTGGTGCATGGTCCTCATTAATAGCAGCTCCTTAGATAAAGATGCTTAAATGAAGATTGACAGGTGTTGAAGTTAAAATATGCCATTGAAGTCACTGTAAAAGTAGAATTTTGTGACGCACATTGTGATGCCTGTATGATGCATGCATATTATTATAAAGGGTATATAAATCAAGGTTTTTCTTTGTTCAGTACCCTGTTTTTCTGGACTACCAGCATGGCGCCAACCGAGAATAAACCGTACTTTTTCAGACCTCAGGAACTCTCTTTGTCTTTTTTCCTCAAACCTCCTCCCTGCCATTTCACTACCTCACACTCCCTCTCCGTCCATTCAGATCATCTCCAAAGGAAAGATAATAGACTATGGGACGCAGGCCAAGCTTGAAGGCTACGTGTATCAAAACCTGCAGTTCCAGCTGACCAAGGAAATGGTTCCCTCGGCCCGCATCCTGGTCTATTACATTGTGACGGGAGAAGGTGCCGCAGAGCTGGTTGCTGATTCAGTCTGGTTGGATGTGGAACAGAAATGTGGAAACAGCCTGAAGGTGAGTCATGGAGTTATAGTAAACAGAGGGGATTGGAGTGGGAAATTGCCAGCCAAAGGAGAGAGTTCAGACAAAGGGAAAGTTCAAAAGGAAATTTATTTATTTACTTACTTACTTACTATATTTATATACTGTCCCTCTCAGCCTGCAGGCGACTTGGGACAGTTTACAGTTGGTACCAAGACCATGAAATAAAATTTCAATATAATAAAACAATTGAATAATAAAACATAACAGAATCGATAAAATCAATAAAAACATGTATCATTAGGGTCTCCTCATTAAAACATTGTCCAGTCACATTGTCCACCATCCCATTTGCCTATGTCTGTGACCCTGTATTTGCAGATGCCTACTCAAAGAGCTGAGTTTTAACTCTCTTCCGAAATGTTAAAAGGGAGGGGGTCAATCTGATGTCCTTAGGGAGGCGTTCCATAGCTGAGGGCCACCACTGAGAAGGCCCTGTGTCTTGTCCCCACCAACCGTGCTTGTGATGAAAGTTAGACCGAGAGCAGGGCCTCCCCAGACGATCTTAAAGTCCTGAGAGGTTCAGAAGGAGAGATGAGTTTAGACAGGTAAGCTGGGCCAGAACCGTTTAGGGCAGTGTTTCTCAACCTGGGGGTCAGGACCCCTGTGGGGGTTGCGAGGGGGTGTCAGAGGGGTCACCAAAGACCATCATACAACATAGTATTTTCTGTTGGTCATGGGGGTTCTGAGTGGGAAGTTGACCCACTTCTATCATTGGTGAGACTCAGAATCCTCTTTGATTGTAAGCAAACTATAAATCCCAGCAACTACAACTCCCAAATGACAAAATCAATCCCCCTCCAACCTCACCAGTATTCAAATTTGGGGGTATTGGGTATTTGTGCCAAATTTGGTCCAGTGACTGAAAATAAAGCCTGCATATCAGATATTGACATTATAATTCATAACAGTAGTGAAATTACAGTTATGGTTGGGGGTCAGCACAACATGAAGAAGTTTATTAAGGGGTCGCAGCATTAGGAAGGTTGAGAAACACTGGTTTAGGGCTTATAGGCTAAAGCCAGCACTTTGAATTGTGCCCGGTAGCAGACCGGCAGCCAGTGGAGCTGGCGCAATAGAGGGGTTGTACTCTCCCTGAGCTCCGCTCCTGTTAGTAACCTGGCTGCCGTCCGTTGGACCAGTTGAAACTTCTGGACAGTCTTCAAAGGCAACCCCACGTAAAGAGCGTTGCGGTAATCTATATGGGATGTAACCAGAGCATGGATTACCGTGGCCAAGTCAGACTTCCCAAGGTACAGGCACAGCTGGCACACAAGCTTTAACTGTGCAAATGCTCCCCTGGTCATTGCCGAAACTTGGGGTTCCAAGCTCAGTGATGCGTGCAGGATCACACCCAGACTGCCAGGATCACACGCAGAAATGCCTAGTAACAAGCAGGCACAGGAAAGGGAGATGCAGGAGTGGGAAGCAGCTGCAGGAACAGGATAGGGATGAGGCATACATTGGAGGAAACAGGCTGTGCACATTCTCAAGTGTTTGACTAGAAGATTGAGCACTTTTTATGTGGCACTTTTTCTTTTGCTCACCCAACAGGGTGATTTGTTCAAATAAACCTGTTGAACATTCTCCTTGCTTCTAGTGTTTGATTGGACAAAGACCCTGGGTGTTTTGGGCCACTTGGCCATAGAGGGACAGTGCAGTGTTTCTCAATATTAGAATGATAAAAAGTGGCACGATATCCCATTGGGTCCAACTGATTGTGTAATGCAGCTCCTCCAGTAAGATGAGGCACAAAAGGGTTGTAGTCCAGTATTTGGAGGAGAGTTGCATTAAATGACATGGCGGGCCTCAGGTGTGACACATGAGCTCCTCCAGTAAGATCTCATGTGTCACACCTGAGGCCCGCCATGTCATTTAATGCAACTCTCCTCCAAATACTGGACTACAACCCTTTTGTGCCTCATCCTCAGTCATCATGTCTGTGGTTGATGGGAGTTGTGATACCGTCCCATCTGGAATAATAATAATAATAATAATAATACTTTATTTATATTCCGCACTTCTCACCCCGAAGGGGACTCAGGGCGGATCACAGTACACATACACTTCAAACATTCAGTGCCACTTTGTATAGACAATACACAAACAGACAGAACAGAAGGAGGCGCCATGAAAGGTTGGGCTCGAGTCCAGGGGTGCTGTTGCTCTATCCTTTATGACGAACAGCCGTCAGGCCTTCCTCCTTCCTTTTGGTCGCCCAGCATTTTCTAATCTTCTTTCTTTATGGCGTCGTAAAACACCTCCTCTGCTTTTAGTGGTACCTAATTTCTCTAATCACAGCTAGTGCTGTTTTCGAATTGCTTAGGTAAACAATGAGCTAGGCTGACAGTTGGCAGCTCACGCCAACATGGGGCTTCGAACTTGCAACCTTTTGGTTGATAGATCTTATAATTGCTGATGATTTACCAACTGTGCTAAACCTCCTGACTGAACAGAAGGCTGTCCTGTTGAGTCAGGAGAAGAGGGTTTGAGTGTAGGAGCAAGGTGTGTGGCACCGTAAAAATATCAGAATATGCCCGCCATCCAAAGAAAGACACTCCCCCCACCCCCAAAATCTGGAATGTTTGACATGCAAAACTTCCTTTGAAATGAGTGGTTTTCATTGGCTGAATTCTTATTTTTTGTGTGTGCGTGTTTGTCTTTCCCCCTGTCTATACAGGTTCGTGTTTTGGGACGTGAGTCGTTTTACAGCCCAAAGGCCGACATTTCGCTTTCCATGAACACCGATTCCGACTCCCTGGTTGCACTGTCCTCTATGGACCGGGCCATTTACGGAGTTACGAGGAGTAAGGAGAGACCCATGGAAAAAGTTAAGTGATGATTATAATAAGTACATTAACATATTTATTGCTTTTTGTGGCTCAAGCGGGGTACAACAGGGTTAAAACAGCGAGATAAAGCAAAACACTATTCAAATAAATAATAATAAATACTAACAGGGTAAAATTAACAAGGCTGAAAACTAACAGGAAACTTTTGTCATGCTGTTATATATTTGCAGCATGCATGTGTTTAGATTGGTTAATATTAGATGATGATGATGATGATGATGATAATAATAATAATACTTTATTTATATCCTGCCCTATCTCCTCTGAGGGGGCTATTCATTTTGCCTGGTACATAAATGGCCTGAATGTTATCTCTGTTCAACTAGAGTCAACCTATTGAATCAATATGATCTATTGGTTAGTCCCAACTAATGCAGACTTTGTTATTTATCGTGTCATCAGCAACCATACCATTGTATTACATTTCTAACAGAACAAAACAAACAAACAGATTAAAAAAAACACAGATTTTGCAAACTTGGTAGTTGATTAAATGTCCTTTGACCAGTATCTGGCCACTTGGAGTGCCTCTGGTGTTGCCGCAATAAGGTCCTCCATTGTGCATGTGGCAGGGCTCAGGGTGCATTGCAGCAGGTGGTCAGTGGTTTGTTCTTCTCCGCACTCGCATGTCGTGGATTCCACCCTGTTAGCCCCATTTCTTAAGATTGGGTCTGCATCTCGTGGTGCCAGAGCACAGTCTGTTCAGTGCCTTCCAAGTCGCCCAGTCTTCTGTGTGCCCAGCGGGGAGCCTCTCATTTGGTATCAGCCATTGGATTGAGGTTCTGGGTTTGAGCCTGCCACTTTTGGACTCTTGCTTGCTGAGGTGTTCCAGCAAGTGTCTCTGTAGATCTTAAAGAACTATTTCTTGATTTAAGTCGTTGACGTGGTGGCTGATACCCAAACAAGGAATGGGCTGGAGATGTCACTGCCTTGGTTCCTTTCACTATTGGCTGCTACTTCCCGGTGGATGTCAGGTGGTGCAATACCGGCTAAGCAGTGTAATTTCTCCAGTGTAGGGCGCAGACACCCCGTGATAATGCGGCATGTCTCATTAAGAGCCACATCCACTTTTTTACCATGGTGAGATGTGTTCCACACCGGGCATGCATACTCAGCAGCAGAGCAGCATAGCGCAAGGGCAGATGTCTTCACTGTGTCTGGTTGTGATCCCCAGGTTGTGCCAGTCAGCTTTCGTATGATATTGTTTCTAGCACCCACTTTTTGCTTGATGTTCAGGCAGTGCTTCTTGTAGGTCAGAGCACGGTCCAGAGTGACTCCCAGGTATCTGGGTGCGCTGCAATGCTCCAGTGGGATTCCTTCCCAGGTGATCCTCAGAGCTCGGGATGCTTGTCTGTTCTTAAGGTGAAAGGCACATGTCTGTGTTTTAGATGGATTAGGGATCAGTTGGTTTTCCCTTGTAATAGGCAGTAAGAGCACCTAGAGCTTCGGAGAGCTTCTTTTCAACCATCTCAATGCAGACTTTGTGAATGGTACTGATTCAGATCCTTTCCAAATGTTGTTTTTTTCTCATCCTTTCCTTCCTTCCTTCTTCAACAGTCACTTCTGAAATTAGAAAAAAGTGACCTTGGCTGCAGTGCCGGAGGAGGGCTGAACAATATAGATGTCTTCCGAATGGCTGGCCTCACTTTTATGACCAATGCGAATGCAGAGGATTCGAAAGAAGAAGGTGCCTTTGTCGTCCGTCTATCTATCTCTATCTATCTATCTATCTATCTATCTATCTATCTATCTATCTATTTATCCATCCATCCATCCATCCATCCATCCATCCATCCATCCACCCCTATGTAACAGAATTTTGAAAATAAATCTTTTCCTAGTGTGAAAGTGTCATTAAGAGCCACATCCACTGTGGTGAGCCTGCCACTTTTGGACTCTCGCTTGCTGAGGTGTTCCAGCGAGTGTCTCTGTAGATCTTAGAAAACTATTTCTAGATTTAAGTTGTTGACGTGCTGGCTGATACCCAAAGGGATGAGCTGGAGATGTCTCTGCCTTGGTCCTCTCACTATTGGCTGCTACTTCCCGGTGGATGTCAGGTGGTGCAATACCGGCTAAGCAGTGTAATATTTCCAGTGGTGTAGGGCGCAGACACCCTGTGATAATGCGGCATGTCTCATTAAGAGCCACATTCACTGTTTTAGTGTGGTGAGATGTGTTCCACACTGGGCATGCATACTCAGCAGCAGAGTAGCATAGCACAAGGGCAGATGTCTTCACTGTGTCTGGTTGTGATCCCCAGGTTGTGCCAGTCAGCTTTCATATGATATTGTTTCTAGCACCCACTTTTTGCTTGATATTCAGGCAGTGCTTCTTGTAGGTCAGAGCACGGGCCAGGATGACTCCCAGGTATTTGGGTGTGCTGCAATGCTCCAATGGGATTCCTTCCCAGGTAATCCGCAGAGCTTGGGATGCTTGTCTGTTCTTAAGGTGAAAGGCACATGTCTGTGTTTTAGATGGATTAGGGATCAGTTGGTTTTCCCTGTAGTAGGCAGTAAGAGCACCTAGAGCTTCGGAGAGCTTCTGTTCAACCATCTCAAAGCTCCCTGCTTGAGCGGTAATGGCACGATCATCAGCATAGATGAAACTCTCTGTCCCTTCTGGCAGTGGCTGGTCATTTGTGTAGATGTTGAACATGGATGGAGCAAGCACGCTCCCCTGAGGCAGGCCGTTCTTCTGTTTCCGCCATCTGCTTCTCTGGCCCTGGAACTCAACAAAAAAGCTCCTGTTTGTAGCAGATTTCCTATGAGGTGGGTGAGATGGTAGTCCTTTGTGATATTATGCAGTTTTCTCAGGAGGAGGCGGTGGTTTACGGTATCATAGGCTGCTGGCAGGTCTATGACAGGTCTCATTACAATAAAATACAATGAGACACAAATACACAGACAAAGGCAAAGGCTTCTCCTTTCATTTCTGGCTCTGGAGTTGGTGCTCATCTCTGGCTCTTGAGGAGGTTCTCTTTTCCATTTCCAAGCTGAGGAGCCTGCGTTATCCATAGATGCCTCCAAGGTCACGTGGCCGGCATGTCTGCATGGAGAGCCATTACCTTCCTGCTGAAGCAGTACCTAATGATCTACTCACATTTGCATGTTTTTGAACTGCTAGGTTGGCAGAACAACAACAAAACTTTATTTATATACCGCTTTATCTCCCTGAGGGGACTCAGAGCGGTTTCCAAGTAACATCATCAATACATACAAAGTAAACAACATAAACATAAAATTAATAAGACAATATAAGGGCAATAGCACATATATTCCATATATTCTGGTGTATTAGACTACTTTCTAACCCAAGAAAATCTTCTCAAAAGTCAGAGGTAGTCTTATATGTGGGGGTAGTCTTATGCATGGGAGTCGTCTTATACATGGGAGTAGTCTTATACGCCGGGAGTCATCTTATAGATTGGAGAATCTGGTTGCTGCATATTGGGGGGGTGGGGGAGCTCAAAAATGGCAGCGGTTGCGTCCCTGCCGTATGCAGTGACTGTATGAAAACATTAAGGGTGACGCTGGTAGAAGTATGGTAGAAGAAAATCAATTCATCAGGATTCGTGGACTTAATGCGGTCCCAATGGTGACGTGAAGGGGCGCCTTACTGGGAAGGTGTAAGTGAAGGACGGAGCAAGCTGCAGGTGTCCGGGGTGCCTGGGGTATGGAAAAAAGGAGTTAGAGTGGCTCTGGGCCCAGAAAAACACAATTCTTTTACCTGTCTGGCCCACCCTTGTATCCTATTACCGTACCTCCTCCTCTGCCTCTCAGGTGCAGGTGCGCATGTGCGAGATCTGAGAGGCAGAGAAGGAGGGACAGTAATAGGAAAATTACCATATTGAAATCAAATCTGATGCTTTAAAATTTTTATTTGGTGTGTTTTGAAAGAGGGTTAGTCTTTTACGGCGAGTATATCCCAAATTGGAAAAGTTGGGGGTCGTCTTATATGCCCAGTCGTCTTATATGCCGGAATATACGGTATTTAAAATATTCCTGCCTGTTGAGAAGCTGGGGCTAATGACAGGAGCTCACCTCGCCCCGCGGATTCAAACCGCCGACCTTCTGGTCAGCAAGTTCTGCAGCTTAGTGGTTTAACCCGCTGCACCACTGCGGCCCCTTCGTTGGTAAACTATAGAAAAATGTGTTTTTGCAGGGTATACTGCAAAAACAAAATATTTGCCATTTAATATACCTTTTCCATGTTTTTTATGATAGAACCAATTAGGAAATGGCATTGATCACCCAGGAACAAAAATCATAGTGTCACATAGTGTGTTGGTACGGCTGTACCAAATGCTCCAACTTCCTTTTCTTTCTTTGAGTGTTTGCATGTATTCCAGAATTCCATGCATTTTGCAATAAGGTGGCTTCCCTTGGTTTGCAATTATAGGGCCAATGACCCATCAATCATTGTTAAGTTTTGGTTCCGCCCCTTTCCCCAGGGCTCTGGGTGGAGAGGGAGCCATTTTAGGTCAGTCTTGCATTGGAAAGCTTAGCTACAGGACGTGGATTAGCTCCACCTGTAGAGAAGCTTCGTTTCTCACAGCATCCGGGGGAAATTCCGGGGGGAAACAGTTCCAAAGGACTCCAGCTGGAGAATCTACAAAGCCTTGACTGGTAGGTCTACTCGGGACCCAAGAAGCAGTTTGGAGCCGGGAGTAGAGCCCACACCAGCAAAGTTTAAAAAGTAGATTGCCCAAAGAGGGGTTAAAAAGGGTTTTCCTCGTAAAGAAAAGAAACAGTTCACAAAGCCAGTTGCCTCCCTTGTGGGCAAGATTAAGAAAGCCACCAGTTGATTCAAAGCCTTGAAGCATTTGTTTAATTTGTTGAAGATCTAAGAAGTATTTGATTGTTTGTTGAAGACTTAAGCAATAATAAAGGACTTTGTTAAACCTTTCAAGCTTCTAAAGACCCTGTAGAGGAAAATCCTTAGGGCCTCTCACTCGAGGCACCCTGGCTTCCCGCTGGGCACAAAGAGCATGTCCTGTTCAAAAGCAAACTGCTATAGGCCCAGTGTGTGACAGCACACATAGTTTAATAAGGCGGACATGGCCCTCGATGGAACAAACAAACTGCCTAACTCTGCATTTTAAAAACTCATTCATATCAACCTCTTGCTCTTGGTTCTTTCTGGACTCTTTTGGATCGACGTCTTTCACAAATTCTTTATGGTTCTTTTGTTCAGGAACGCCTTTTACATCCTGACGTCTTTCTTCTTTTCTTTTTTGTGTTTCGTTTCCTCAGATGAAGCCTGCAAAGCCCGCGTCCGACCGGCACGATCCCCCAAAAGGAGTAGAAGGGACAAACTCGGTATGGCATGAGTCAATTGTGCGTAAAAAGGGACAGAGGGATAATGCAGCGAAGCTCAATGGGAGTTGTAGTTTGGTGAGGCATCAGCACTCTTGGGCAGAGAAGGCTTAGAAAAGGTAAAAATACAACTCAGGGAGCCATGGCAGTTAAAGTGGAATCAAACTGCATTCATTCTACAGTATAGACACAGCTCTAGTTATCAACCTCACTCTCTCAGTTAGTCTCTAATCTGTGGGTCCCCAGGTTTGCAACTCCCAGAAATCCCAGCCAGTTTACCAGCTGTTAGGATTTCTGGGAGTTGGAGGCCAAAACATCTGGGGACCCACCGGTCGAGAACCACTGCTCTAAGGTGCTTTGAATACTGATGCTCCAGGCCAACATGGCTATGCCTTTGCAACAGCAATAATTTATTACCTGCGTCCAGGGGCGGCTCGTCCATTACGCGAAGTAAGCAGTCGCAGAACACTTTTTTTTGCCAGGGGCGCAGAGGCGCCTCTGTAAATGCCCCTCGACCGCCATTGGAGGAGCGCACCCTCAGCTCACAACAGCCCTAGCAGTCTGGGGGAGCCTCAGCTTTCTTGCCTCGCTGCCAGGCGATCCTCTCCCCAAAGGGGCCGGGCCCTTGAGCCTCGCCTCGCCCCTCTTGTTCCTGCTCCACCTGGCCACCAGGTGCGCGAGCACAGCCGGCGCTCAATCGTTCTCCGCGTTCGATCCCTTCTCCATGACTGGCTCCCTTTCCCGATCCCCCGGCGCTCCACCCGCCTCCTCTCCTCTCCCCAATCCGCGGGTGGGGCAAGGGGCGGAGCTGCCACGCCTGGCCTGCTTTGGGTCCGGAAGCGTGTCTGAAGACCCCAGTGCGCACCAAAAGTCGCCTCTTCTCCTGACTTTCTCTTCAGCCATTGGGACCGAGAGAGAGAGAGAGAGAGAGAGAGAGAGAGCCCTCCGGCTGGAGGTATCTCCCACCTCCGCTCCCTCCTTTGTTTTTGCGCCTACCTTCAGGAAAGGTGGGCATCTCCACCTCTGTCTCTCTCTCTCTCTCTCTCTCTTGGTCCCAATGGCTGAGGAGAAAGTCAGGAGAAGAGGTGACTTTTGGTGCACACGCCGGGGTCTTCAGGCACGCCTCCAGACCCAAAGCGGGCCAGGCAAGGGAGCAAGTGTGGCAAGTGTAGTTACTGGGATGTATAGTTCACCTACAATCAAAGAGCATTCTGAACTCCACCAATGATGGAATTGAACCAAATATGGCACACAGAACTCCCACGACGAACAGAAAATATATATCAATGATTGGTTGTGGGGGGGGGGATAAAATACTGTTTGCTTACCGTTGAAAATTACCTAGGGCCGCCTCTGCCCGCGTCTCCTTTCGGCTTGAGGTACAACATAGTCAAATGCATCTATTATAACTGCTTTGTGTTGTTTATTCTATTTATTTCAGATTCAGCCTGTGAAGCCATCCTGCAAGCGGCACCTTCCACCGTCAGCAGTAAGATCGAAGAACTAGGTATACCTTAAAGTCAGATGTGTTGCTCAAAAGCATTCATAGAGGAAGGTATTTTTGCAGCAACAACCCATCCAAGGCCAGGGCTGATGTTCTTATTAATTTTGAGTCTGCTCCCCATGTGCTGACAGTAAGTTTCCGCAGGATGTTATTGAGTGCAGATACTTTGTGCTTGATGTCTGCACACTGTTTCTTAAATGTTAGTATTCGATCTAAGGTGACGCTGTGATATTTAGGATGGGAACAGTGTTCAAGCTCTTGACCTTCCAAGATAACTTTCAATTTCCTGTTGGCTTCACGATTACGTAGATGGAGAGCACACACTTGTGTCTTGGCAGGGTTAGGCTTCATGTGGTTATCTTTGTAGTAACTGGAGAGATTTTTCAGGGAATTCATAAGTTGGTTTTCGGCAGCTTTGAAGTCTTTTGCTTGTGTTGTTAGGTCACGATCATCAGCATATATAAAGATCTTTGTGAGTGGTGGTCGTGGCTGATTGTTAGTAAAGATGTTGAGCTCCCGGTGGCGCACTGGGTTTAACCCCTGTGCCGGCAGGACTGAAGACCAACAGGTCACAGGTTCGAATCCGGGGAGAGGTGGATGAGCTCCCTCTATCAGCTCCAGCTCCTAATGCAGGGACATGAGAAAAGCCTCCCACAAGGATGATAAAAACATCAAAAATCATCTGGGCATCCCCTGGGCAACATCCTTGCAGACAGCCAATTCTCTCAAACCAGAAGCAACTTGCAGCTTCTCAAGTCGCTCCTGACACAACAACAACAAAAAAGTAAAGATGTTAAACAAGGTTGGTGCAAGAACGCTGCCTTGAGGTAGACCATTCTTTTGCCTCCTCTATCTACTTTTCCTGCCTTGAAACTCCACATAGAAGCTGCAGTTTCCTAGAAGCGTCTGGATAGTTTTTGTAAAATTATCGTTCCTGATAATATGGTGGACTTTTGCATCATTTTTCCATGTTGCACCGTGTTGTAGAAACAGGGATAAAGGAGGACCTTTCTGAATCGGGTTTTCCTTCCATTGCTGCGATTGAGCATGCATTTAGCACAAACGTCATCTGGCCACCCCCTTTTAAACCCATAGTTTCCCAAATTATAGGCACTGTATGGAAGCACCCAGAGTCTCTGCAGATTTTTAGATGGAGGCAGGATGTATTCTGGTACGGCTGTACCAGGAGCTCCAACTTCTTTTCCTTTCTTTGAGTGTTTGCATGTATTCCAAGGTTCCATGCATTTTGCAATAAGGTGGCTTCCCTCGGTTTGCAATTATAGGGCCAATGACCCATCAATCATCATTAGGTTCTTTCGTTCCGCCCCTTTTTCTGGGTTTAGGAGGGAAAAAGGGGACCTCTAGTTCAGTTCACACAGAGAAGCCCTTCGTACAGGACGTGAATCAGTTCCACCTGTACAAAGCTTCGACTTTTACAGCTTTTGCTGGGGGGATCCAGTCCCATAGCTCTACAGAGAAGCATAGCTTTTGCTGGGGGGATCCAGTCCCACAGCTTTACAGCCAGCCTTCGCTGGGAATTGAAGACCTTATTTCCTCTTGGAAATCTACAAAAGGACTCTGTTTGGTAAGGACCACTCATGGCAGCCATAATGCAATTTGGACTGGGTGTAGGGGCCCACACCACAGAGCCTAAGACAGATTGCCCAGGTAGAGGTCAAGGATTTCCCTGATAGTGAAGAAAGTTCATGAAGAAAGTTGCCTGTCCCTTGTGGACAAGATTAAGAAAGCCATCAGTTGATTCAAAGCCTTGAAGTATTTGTTTGATTTATTGAAGACCTAAGCAATAATAAAGAACTTTGTTAAACTTTCCAAGTTTCTAAAGACTTTGTTTAGGGAAATCCAAAAGGCCTCTAGTCTGAGGCACCCCCGGCGTCCCGTTGGGCATACAGAAACACGTCCTATTTACAGACTCTTTCACAGGCCCAGCGCGTGACAGCACAGGATGACCACCTGTTGGGCAGGATTGGAGCGTGCTTTTCTTTGGAACAGAAGGGAGTTGGGCTGGATGGCCACCTGTCGAGAGGGAAGGATGCCTTCCTTTATGGCCCTTGGGTCTTCCATAAAACACTGGGCCTCTTTTTGCTTTCTTCTAGTGTCCCTCCTTCAAGTCCAAGTGGTCAAGGACTGCTGCAGAGCCGGGGCCCAGGAGCATCCGACGAAGAAGTCCTGCGACGAGCGCCTCAAACACGTTCGGGGTGGAACACGTTGCATGTGGGCCTATTCCAAGTGTTGTGCCTGCGCAGAGCAGCTGCGGCGCAATGAAACCCACAAAGACATCATCCTCGGCCGGAGCTGTGCGTGCACAGTCCCCAAAATGTGGTTCTTTCTTGTGTAAACTGAGCCCAGGAATCTTCCTTTTGGAGACTCAGAAGTCATTGCGCTGTGATTCACTGCGGCTGAACCGCATTGAAAGAGGGCCTTTTTATGGCTAACTTATTAGCTAAATCTAGGAATTTCCAAAACCACGTTAACGAACTAATCGTTCCAATAGACTCTCATCCAGTTCTTCAGTTTGGTTCTGGTGGGTTCCTGATTTCTGGTTCGATGTTTATTTATAATTCTTTTTATAATTTATTTCTGTTTTCTCTAGTCCTCGCTGTCCTTTTGGATTTGGATCCAGAGGTCCGGAGCTATTTCCCCGAAAGCTGGCTTTGGGAGGTCCACCCAGTTTCCCGGTATGGAACTTTGAACTGTTTATTTATTTATTACTATCCGTCCCCTGCCACGCGTTGCTGTGGCCCACTCTGGTGGTCATGGGCGGTTTTGTGTGGGAGGTTTGGCCCAATTCTATCGTTGGTGGGGTTTAGAATGCTCTGTGATTGTAGGTGAACTACAAATCCCAGCAACTACAACTCCCAAATGTCAAGATTCTATTTGCCCCAAACTCCACCAGTGTTCACATTTGGGCATATCGAGACTTCGTATAGAGTTTGGTCCAGATCCATCATTGTTTGAGTCCACAGTGATCTCTGGATGTACGTGAACTACAACTCCAAAACCAAAGGACACTGCCCACCAAACCCTTCCAGTATTTTCTGTTGGTCATGGGAGAACTGTGTGCCAAGATTGGTTCAATTCCATCGTTGGTGGGGTTCAGAATGGTCTTTGATTGTAGGTGAACTATAAATCCCAGCAACTACAACTCCCAAATGACAAAATCATTTTTTTGGAGTGAAGGACATACATTGGGTTGTTAGGTGTTTTGTGTCCAAATTTGGTGTCAATTCATCCAGTGATTTTTGAGTTCTGTCAATCCCACAAACGAACATTACATTTTTATTTATATAGATTTATTTAAAACTTTTGTATCCTGATTTTTTCTACCTCCGTAGAGGGACTCAGACCGGCTAACAGCAAGGATTCGATGCTAATAGTACAGTCTAAAATATCAAAACACTCTTAACAACAAACATCAACAGTGTATTAAAATACATAAAGGATAAAATACATATAAGCCAATTCGCCAAGATAAAATCATGTCCAATTCAGTCTGCATCTTGTGATCCATAACTTTGGTCAATTGCCGGTCCCATTCTGGGAATGCCTTGTTCCATAGCCATGATTTTACTAGCTTTCTGAAGGTCAGGAGGGAGGGGGCAGATCTAATTTCATTCAGGAGAGAGTTTCATAGCCGGGGGGCCACCACAGAGAAGGCCCTGTCTCTCGTTCCCACCAGCCGTGATTAAGAGGGTAGCGGGACTGAGAGCAGGGCCCCTCCAGAAGACCTTAGCAGCCTTGATGGTTCATAGAGGAGAATACGTTCGGACAGGTAAACTGGGCCGGAACCGTATAGGGTTTTGTAGGTTAAAACCAGCACTTTGAATTGTGCTCGGAAGCTAATTGGCAGCCAGTGGAGCTGGTGCAACAAGGGAGTTGTGTGCTTCCTGTACCCTGCTCCCTTCAGTAGCCTGGCTGCTGAACGTTGGACTAGTTGCAGCCTCCGGGCAGTCTTCAAAGTCAACCCCACATAGAGAGTGTTGCAGTAGTCTATTCGGGATGTAACCAGAGCGTGGACCACCATGGCCATGCCAGACTTCCCAAGGTACAGGCGCAGCTGCTGCACAAGCTTTAACTGCAAAAGCTCTCCCGGCCACCGCCGAAACCTGGGGTTCCAGGCTCAGCGATGAGTCCAGGATCACTCCCAAGCTGCGAGCCTGCGCCTTCAGGGGGAGTGTAACCCCGTCCAGCACAGGCTGTAACCCTATGCCCTGTTCGGCCTTATGACTGACCAGTAGGACCTCTGTCTTGTCTGGATTCAGTTTCAATTTGTTCACTCTCATCCAGTCTGTTACAGCCCCCAAACACTGGTTCAGGACCTGAACAGCCTCCTTTTGTCTTTCCTTCATTCTCTCTTTCCTCCCTCCTTTCCTTCTTTCTCCTGTCCTCCATTCTCTTCCACTCTTTCATCCTTCCCTTCTTCCCTTCCTTTTGTCTTTTCTTCCTTCTCTCTTTCCTTCCTCCTTACCTCCCTCCCTTCCCTCTTTCTTCTTCCATCCTTCCCTTCCACCCTTTTGCCCTTCCTTCCTTCCTTCCTTCCTTCCTTCCTTCCTTCCTTCCTTCCTTCCTTCCTTCCTTCCTTCCCTCTTTCCTCTCCTTCCCTCCTCTTTTCTCCTTCTTCCCTTTTTTTTCCTTCCTTCTTCTTTCCTTCCTTCCTTTCCTTTCCTTTTGTTTTCCTTCCTTCCTTTCCCTTCCTCCTTCCCTTCCACCCTTTCATCCTTCTTTCCTTCCCTTTTGTTTTTCCTTCCCTTCTTTCCTCCCTCCTCTTCCTTCCCTTTCTTCTTCCCTCTTCCCTTCCTCCCTTCCTCTTCTCCTTCTTCCTTTTTTCCCCTTCCTTCTTCCCTTCCTTCCCTCCTTCTTCTTCTTCCTTCCTTCCTTCCTTCCTTCCTTCCTTTCCTTCCTTCCTTCTCCCTTCCTTCTTTTCATCCATTCCCTTCCACCTTTTCATCCTTCTTTCCTTCTCCCCCTCTCTCCCTCTTCTCCTTTCCTTTCCTTTTGTTTCCTTCCTTCTCTCTTTTCTTCCTCCTTCCTCACCCTTTCATCCTTCCTTCTTTCCCTTTTGTCTTTTCCTTCCTCCTTCCTCCCTCCTCCCTCTTTTCTCCTTCCTCCTTTCCTTCCACCCTTTTTCCTTCCTTCCTTCCCTCTTTCCCTCTCCCTCTTTCTCCTTCCTTCCTTTTTTCCTTCCTTCCTTCCTTTTCCTTTTTCCTTTCCCTTTTCTTCCTTCCTTCCTTCTTTCATCCTTCCCTTCCACCTTTTCATCCTTCCTTCCCTTTCCTCCCTCTCTCCCTCTTTTCCCTTCCTCCTTTCCTTTCCTTTTGTGTTTCCTTCCTTCTCTCTTTCCCTTCCTCCTTCCCTTCTACCCTTTCACCTTCCTTCTTTCCCTTTGTCTTCCCTTCCTTCTTTCCTCCCCCTTCCCCTCTCTTCTTTCTCCTCCTCCTTCCTTCTCCCTTTTTCCCTCTTCCCTCTTCCCTCTCTCTCCCCCTTTCTACTTCCTTCCTTTTTGCCTTTCTTTCCTTTTCTTTTTCCTTCTCCTTCATCTTCCCTCCTTTCTTCCTTCTTCCTTCCTTCCACCCTTTCATCCTTCCTTCTTTCTCCCTCTCTCCTCTTTCCCTCCCTTTCCTTCCTTTTGTTTCCTTCCTTCTCTCTTTCCTTCCTCCTCCCTTCCACCCTTTCATCCTTTTTTCTTTTTCTTCCTTTTGTCTTCCCTTCCTTCTTTCCTCCTCCTTCTTCTCTCCCTTCTTTTCCTTCCATCCTTCCCTTCCTCCCTTTTGCCCTTCCTTCCTCTCTTCCTCTCTCCTCCTCCCTTCTCTTCCTTCCTTTCCTTTCCTTCCCTTCCCTTTTCTCTTTTTCCTTCATCCTTTCCCTTCCTTCCTTCCTCTCCCTTCCCCCTTTCATCCTTCCTTCCTTTCCTCCCTCTCCTCTTCTCCTTCCTTTCTTCCTTTCGTTTTTCCTTCCTTCTCTCTTTTCCTTCATCCTTCCCTTCCTCCTTCCATCCTTCCTTCCTTTCCCTTTTTTTCCTTCCCTCCTTCTTTCTTCCCTCTCCCTCATTTTCCTTCCATCATTCCCTTCCTCCCTTTTGTCCTTCCTTCCTTCTCTCTTTCTTTCCTCCTTCCCTTCCTTCCTTTCACTACCGGGCAGTCAGTCCTCCTAGCAGGGAATGCTATCATGCGGCTCCAAAGTTAGGAAGTTTGCCCATGCCTGGATTAGGGAAAAGTGGAACTCTGAAACAAATATATCAAGTGTCCCATTTTTGTTCTGAATGAATGCAGCTCCAAGACACTTCCGGTGACTTTGCCTGATTCGCTGACCACTTGGGAAATTCAAGGCATCAGCATTTCAGATCAAGGTATGTAAAAGGAAAAAGAAACCTGAATTCTTTCTGTAAGGCTGTGGGAAATGGAGATAACCCAAGGAACAAAAGGCCCGTTGTTGCTCTTTCGGTGATGCACCTTGTTTCCTTGTTTCCCAAACAGGGATCTGTGTCGCGGATGCAGTGCAAGTGCAAGTGGTCAAAGAGGTCTTCATCGATGTGCGCACGCCTTACTCTATCATCCGCGGAGAACAAATCGAATTGATAGGAACCGTTTACAATTACAAACCATCGACGATCAAAGTCAGTTCCTCCCTGTTAATGTTAGTGAATAACAACCTGGTATTTGCAAATAACAACAACAACAATAATAATAATAGCAGCCCACCACAAACAAACCAACCAATTCTGACCTGTTTTTAGAAAGATAAAGCGAGATAATATTCATAATAATAAATTCCCACCACAAAGAAAATAATATTAATAATAAAGTGGGGTAGATGATGATGATGATGATAATAATAATATATGAATGTGTGTAAGTGGCTGGGTGTCAACTTACAAAGACAAGCTCCTGCTGCTTTTCTGGTTGTGGGTGAACTATAACTCCCAGAAAGGAAGGCCAGTTCCCCCAAACCCCTCCAGTAATCAAATTTTGACATATCAAGTCTGTGTGCCAGGTTTGATCCAGATCCATCGGTGTTTGGGTTCACAGTGCTCTCTGGATGTAGGTGAACTACAACTCCCCCAAATCATGATGAAATTTCTCCAAAGACCTTCAGTATTTTTTGTTGGTCATGGGGGCTCTGTGTGCCAAATTTGGTTCAATTCCATCTTTGGTGGAGTTCAGAGTGCGCAATGATTGCAGGTGAACTATACATCCCAATACCTACAACTCCCAAATGTCCAGGCCAATTCCCCTCAAAACCCACCAATATTCAAATTTGGGCATATTGGGTATGCATGCTGAGTTTGGTCCAGAACCATCATTGTTTGGATTCATAGTCCACTCTGGATGTAGGTGAACTACAATTTCCCCAAATCACGATGAAATTTCTTCCAAGACCTTCAGTATTTTTTGCTGGTCATGTGTGCCAAGTTTGGTTCAATTCCATCTTTGGTGGAGTTCAGAGTGCGCAATGATTGCAGGTGAACCATACATCCCAATACCTACAACTCCCAAATGTCCAGGCCAATTCCCCTCAAAACCCACCAGTATTCAGATTTGGGCATATTGGGTATGCATGCCGAGTTTGGTCCAGAACCATCATTGTTTGGATTCATAGTGCACTCTGGATGTAGGTGAACTACAACTCCCCCAAATCACAATGAAATTTCTCCAAAGACCTTCAGTATTTTTTGCTGGTCATGGGGGCTCTGTGTGCCAAGTTTGGTTCAATTCCATTTTTGGTGGAGTTCAGAGTGCACAATGATTGCAGGTGAACTATACATCCCAATACCTACAACTCCCAAATGTCCAGGCCAATTCCCCTCAAAACCCACCAGTATTCAAATTTGGGTATATTGGGTATGCATGCCGAGGTTGGTCCAAAACCATCATTGTTTGGATTCATAGTGCGTCCTGGATGTAGGTGAACTGCAACTCCTATAAATCCCTGCAAAGACCTCCAGTATGTTTTGTTGGTCATGGGGATCCTGTGTGCCAAGTTAGTTCCAGGTCCATTATTGGTGGAGTTCAGAGTGTTCATAAATTGCAGGTGAACAGTACTTACAACTCCTATAAATCATGGCGAATTCTCCCCAAACCTCTCTAGTATGTTCAGTTGCTGATCAATTCCTCTGTTTGCTGTGTGCCATAGAAAAAGAATAGGAAAGGGTTATGGGAGAGGCAGTGGGCGGGGTCATGCAAATTCCACACCAATGGAGAGAGTAAGAAACACAGGGATGCCTGTGGTGGAGGAAAAACAGAAAATCTAGGATGAAATTGCCCCCGTATGAAAGTCAATTTCCTGGCGTCCAGTTCCAATTCTGCCACATTGCGCTCTGGATATGGCAGCCGCCTACACAAACAGCGATGCCTACAAACTCGTTTCCACTTTCATTATAAATGTCGACAGAGAAGAGTAAACATACCCTTGAGGCTGCTGACCCTGCTTTCTCTTGGACGTTGCAGTTCTGTGCTTCCATCAGCGTGGGTAGCGGGGTCTGCCTTTTCGGATCTGTCTCCGGATCGGGTCCGCAAGGAATCCAAAGGACCTCCTGCTCCCGGCTCCGCAACCTCGAAGGCTCCTCCATTGCAAGAGTCCAGTTTAAGGTCCTTCCTCTGGAGCTGGGTCTCCACACCGTGAATTTCACATTGAGGAGCACCGCGGGAAATGAGGTCCTGGTGAAGACCTTGCGAGTTGTGGTGAGATGTTGATAATATAGCAATAACAACAATAATATTATTATTGGGGTTGCAATTAGTATTATTTTGTTGTTGTTCATTTGTTCAGTCGCTTCCAAATCTTCGTGACCTCATGAACCAGCCCACGCCAGAGCTCCCTGTCGGCCGTCACCACCCCAAGCTCCTTCAAGGACAAGCCAGTCCCTTCAAGGATGCTATCCATCCATCTTGCCCTTGGTCGGCCCCTCTTCCTTTTTCCTGGGGGCTATTATTCTCAATAAAGGAGGGATGGATGTCGCATCTTTCCCCCAGGGGATTGCTTCTTGCCCTCCTATAGGAAACTGGAACTCCTAAAAACCCAAAACGCTGTAAATAGCTCAAGATAAGTTTTATTTATCACAAAGTCATTTCTTCAAAGCAATGAGCTGGAAAACTTTAGAGGGGTGAAGGAAAACATATGTTACAGTCTCAATTAGTCCTGGGTCCAAGGGGTTTGAAGCTGAGAAGCCTCACCAAGTTTCTTCTTTCCTCAATGGCTGTGAATGCCGGAGCAAATCACAACCCCAGTTCAGATGGCCTATGTTTTGAAGATTCAGGATCTTCCTTTGGTGCCAAAAGAACTGGTTTTGAAGGCGCTTGGGATCTCCTCAATGTTATCCAGGACGATCTGGACATAAAGCATGAGTCCCAAGGGTAAAAAAAACCCTCAGAATTGGTGCTAAGAGGTAACGTAAATCAGGGTCCTTTAGAATCAAGTCTTTTACTCACGTCCATGTGGTAGAAACTCTGATGGCAGAATGAAGAAAAAGGGAAGCTCTCCCCTCCTGCAGGAAGAGGTGGAGCCAAACAGTACTGATTGACAGCTACAAGCAACCAATCCATACAACTATACATAAGCAGGGTAAAAAGGGGCAGGATTAAGCATGATACAACAGTTTAAATCTTACAACTAACAGTTCTATACATAGGTGGCACCACCCGCGCCATCACAGTTTGCAACAAAACAACAGCAAATATTCAATGCGATCAGAAGCAAAAACAACCATAATTCAAAAAAGCATATCAAGCATCAACTTCCAGCAACAAATAAGCATCATATCACTAAAATTAAGTCATAACAAATAAACATTTATTCATTTATTTACAGCATTTCCCTCATTTCCTCTATTTCTGTTTTTAGCCCGAAGGTATCAGAGAAGAACAGTATGAAGGCAACACCCTGGATCCTCAAGGCATTTATGGTACGTCAAAGGAAATTTCCCGTTCTTCCCTGCATTGACTTTAATTGGAGTTGGGGGGAGGGGGGGGGTTGCATGTAAAATTGGGGATGACCAAACAACATTTTTTCCATATTATTATAAATGGTGTCCTGATGTGAGGGGCTTCCTTGTGCATTTGTCAACCGACAGGGACAGTCGTACGGGAGGTCGGGTTCCGTCGGAAGACCCCGTTCAATATCGTCCCAAAGACCAGCCTCAGCCGGACTCTGAGCGTCAAAGGTAAGAAGGACCCAGAGAGGAAGCATTCCTTGTATGTTCTTCTATGGTGCTTTACTTAATATTGTAAGGCCGTGACATGCAGCGCATTCTGTTGCACTAAGGACCTGAAGCCTCTTTTCACTACAAACCACACACTGTCCAGATAATCCAATGTAAGAGTTTATTAAAAGCCGAGTATAATGAAGAGCAGGCATATATAAAAAAGGAATCATCGTTCGCCAGGTTAAGTCGAAAGTCCCCAAAAGGCGAAATAAATATACGATCTGAAGAGCAGAGTATATAAGTGAAACAAAGAGCTGTATCTCAAAATCGACGGCAAACCTAGGATGCACAATCAGTACAACGGAATGGGAAAAAATCTGGAAGACCAAACTAAAACGGATCAATTCTTACGACTTACGAGAGAATTGGACTAAAATGATGTACCAGTGGTACATGACGCCCAGTAAATTAGCTAAATGTTACAAAAATGTTTCTGAAACGTGCTGGAAGTGCGAAAGGAGGAAAGGTACTTTCTTCCACCTTTGGTGGACTTGTGAGAAAGTCCAGAAATTCTGGAGAGAGATTCATAGGCTTGTGAATAAAATATTGGACTTAAAGTACAATATGAAAGTGGAATACTATTTACTGGGAATACTTGATCTTGATATTGAAAGGAACAAAGACAAACTTCTGTTCCATATGGCGACGGCGGCAAGACTGGTGATTGCAAGAAAGTGGAAAAATAAAGAACCACCCATGAAAGAAGAGTGGAAATTAAGACTAATGGATATAATGAATATGGACGCATTAACACAACACATGGCAACCAAACAGAGGACGGGTGTAAGCAAGACTGACTGGACTCCAGTGGAGAGATACCTCAAAGATAATCAACAATCGATTATAATAGATAATAATCGACACATAAGAAAGAAGTCAAGAAGACAACCCCAATTGAAGATAATACTAATAATGCTATTCGGGATTAATCAGTAACTAAGTGAATTAACACTCCCCGTCAAACTTTTCAGTCTTTACACACCCACCCCACCCTCTTCGGGTTTTTTTCTCTTTTCTTTTTCTTTCTCCCCCCTATCCTTTTCCATCTCTCTCTTTCCTTTTGTTTTAAGATAAATAGTTGATACTTGATATATCGATGATTACCATTCTCTCGATGTACACTTGAACAAAACTATCAATAATATATATATATATATGTCAAAAGTCCCCAAAATACCTTTAGAGAAAGCCTCTAAAATAATTCCAGCTGAATATGTGAGAACAAGGTACATAAATCCAAGGCAGGCAAAACTATGCCTCGCAAGATCAGAACACAGAAACAGCTTGACACTTGGTTACATGAATTTCTGGAACCTTGTCACCAAGAGGTCTGTACGTGAATGCAATGTTGCTCTCACAATGATTGTATCAACATGAACCACTTTTAAAAGTCAAAAAACCCTCCCATGAGATCATTTCTTTAGCACCTGCTCTCCTTAATTTTGACCTGACGAGAGAAGCGAGTCCTTAATTGCTGGCCCTGTGGGGATATCATCATCATCATCATCATCATCATCATGTTTATTTGAATTCATTGTACATTGCTTTGAGGTTGAGGAATGGGGACATTACGATTATTATTGTTGTTGTTGTCATCTTTAGTCCTGTTTATAAGTCATTGGAAGTTGCACTAAGTCTGAGGAATGTTGTTGTTGTTACCATTATCTTTTGAAGTCATTGTACATGGGATTATTATTATTATTATTATTATTATTATTATTATTATTATTATTATATGATGTTACGCATCAATTAAACACACCATCGAAGCCCCACTCAATTTGTTTTCCTTCCTTCGCAGGGCTCCTTTTGGGGGAAGTGATCAATGCAGTGGTTGCACCTGAGGGACTCCTCTTCCTGGCCAATCTTCCCAGAGGAAGCGCCGAAGCCGAACTCATGAATGCGGTGCCAGTCTTCTATGTGTTCGACTTCTTGCAAAGGACCAGCAACTGGGACATCCTCGGTTCAGGAAGCCTCACTCCAGAACTGCAAATGAAGAGGAGACTCAAGGAAGGTGCGCAAACGATTCCTAGTTAAGGATGGGGCTGGACTGGATGGCCTTTGAGGGTCCCTTCCAAATCTATGATACTATATCTATCTCATATATTTATACATACAGCCATAACTGTGGTACAAACATCCGACGATTCATATTCCTTCTCAGAGTTGTAAGCACTGTTGTTTCCTCTATTTCCTAGCCATTATCAGCATCCTCTCCTTCCGGAAGAAGGATTTCTCCTTCAGCATCTGGAAAGATGGGGAAAGCAGCACCTGGTGAGTCCCATCGCTTTAAGGGAGGATCGTGTCCAGTGCAGTTTTAGAAGAAGAGCTTCTTCTCCAAATGGTGAGGGAGGTCAGCCCTTTCCTGCTGCACTTTGGGTTGCCCTTTTCACTTCTCTGCACACAGCAAAGGGAGCCAGAGGTGCAGCCCTTGCTGAGGCTGGATGGAAAGAAGTCCCTAGGAGATTGGCATTTCTCTTCCTATTTAAATATATATATGTCTGTCTGTCTATCTCTAGATCTACACACACACAAGTTCTCTGCTTGTCTCTAACTGTCTATCATCACTCTCTCCTATCTTGTCATCTATCTATCTATCTATCTATCTATCTATCTATCTATCTATCTATCTATCTATCTATCTATCTATCTATCTTCTCTCTCTCTCTCTTTTATCTATCCTTTATCTTATCAGCTATCTGCCTATCGTCTCTCTCTCTTGTCTTTTATCTCTCTCTCTATTTATCTATTATCCCTCTCTCTTTTGTCACTATCTATCTATCTTTCTATCTATCTATCTGTCATCTCTCTCATCTTGTCTTCATCTATCTACTCTCTCATCTTGTTTAATCTATCTATCTATCTATCTATCTATCTATCTAT